CAGGACATGTACAGTCTTTTCTTTTTCTTTTTTTTCCCTTGTTGGAAAGTCAGATATAGAGAGAGGAAGAGAGACAGAGAAGATCTTCCATCCCCATGCATTCACTCCCCATGCAGCCCCAATGGCCAAAGCTGAGCTGCGCCAGGAGCCTCTTCAGGATCTCCAACACGGATGCAGAGTCCCAAGGTTTTGGGCCATCCTCAACTGCTCCACCAGGCCACAAGCAGGGAGCTGGATGGGAAGTGGGTCTCCAGAATTAGAACTGGTGTCCATATGGGATCATAGCACATACAAGGTGAGGAATATAGCCGCTAGACTACCACGACAGGCCCAGAACATGTACGGTCTTACAGGGCAAGAAGCTTGACCTCCTGGAATTCAAAAACATCCCATTCCCCTTATGTGACAGAACACTATACTTGTTCCAAATATTCATGGATCTCACCAACAGAGGCCAGCAAGACATAAAATAACTACATCCAAATAACACACTCCCCAACCCTGCAAATCAACTGTTTTTAGCTTCTTTCTTCACATACTTTTTCACATGATATAGAATCACAAGGAGATGGCATTGTGGCACAGAAAGTTGAGACACCACGCCTATGACACCAGCATCCCATTAGTGCAATTCAAATCCTGCTGCTCTATTTCCAATCCAGCTCCCTGGAAAAGCAGCGTTAGGCCAAGTGATTGAGACCCTGCCACTCACATGCCTGCCTCAGCCAGCTGCTGAAGTGTCTGGTTAGTGACCCAGTGGGTGGAAGAGTTCTGTCTCCTTCTGTGTGTGTGTGTATGTGTGTGCCACTCTGCTTTTCAAATAAATAAATAAATCTTTAAAAAAATCAAATGCTACTGATTAACAGAGTCTACGGAAGATATATTTCATTCAAAGAATTTACCTGACAATATAATTCAAGTGCCAAAAATGCATATGTAAAAACGTATTCTCTGCACCAATATTTGCAAATAGTCTTGCTACATATAATCCAAATATTCATGAAAAGAGGACCAGCTCCCAAGCTATAGGCCATTGTAATAGGTACAAGGTAACCTAGACAAATGTACACTGCTGGGAGAAAAGCAGCCAGTAGCTGGTGGGCATTCTGGGCCTGCATGATGTCACATTTGTGTAAACTATACTAGTATACCAGTATAGCTGTTGCTTCTTTTTCTTTTCTTTTTTCTTCTTTCCTTTTTAAATATAAGTGGGGAAGGCAGGGAACTCTGGGCTGCCACATGCCACCCCAGCCTCTGGGTGATGGAGCTGCAGTCAGCACAGGGAAGAGGTCTGGGGCTATACCACAAAACTCACCTGGCAGGAACCTATCTGACACCTGCAGGGGCTGGGGTTAGGATGAAGCCAGACAGGGTGAAGCTGCAGCATCTGCAAAGGCTGGGACTGAGAACAGACCATGCCAAACAGGGTCACTATATGTAGATCTGGGGCTAGGAGCAGGCCTGGTAAGGGAACTGAGGAACTCCTCTGCTAGGCTACAGCCTCCTGCTGGTGAGCATAAGAGTCAGGGATGGGGATGGGCCAGACCAGACAGAGCTGCAGCACTCAGCAACTATGTGACAGAGTCGGAGTACATGCTAGGCTGGGCCAGGCTGTAGCAGTTGCTGACAGAAACCAGAGTCAGAACACCGTGTGCCCAGCTGGGCTAGGCTGTAACACCTGTCAGTGAGAGCTGAGACTAAAAGCCCACCATGCCAAGCTGGATTGAAGCACGGACTAGCATGCACAAGACCCAGGGCTGGAAACAAAGGTGGTAGGGGGAACTCTGGGGACTCACTTGCTTAATTGCAGCTCTCTTACTAAGTGCAAGAGTGGGGCTATGGGTGGACTAGGCTGGGCAAAGGTGCAGCATGCATCAACATGCATGCTGAGAGTGGGCCAGATTGCACTACGCTGCAGCATCTACTGTTGCTTGTGAGAGCCATAATGAGTATGGGATAGATAGGCCAGGCTAGATTGCAGCACCCACTGGGTCACATGATAGCTGGATCACGGGGTAGGCCAGGCTAGGCTAGGATAGAGCACCTATCAGTGAAAGCTGGAATGGGAGTGCAAGCTAGTGGGGCTAGGCTACAGTACCTGCTGGTGAGGGCCAGGACCGTGGGCCAGTTATGTAGTCTAGCAGCAGCACTTGCCAGCACATGTGAGATCCACTGACGGGAGGAGGCCTGGTAGTGGAACTTGGGAAACTCCTCTGCTAGGCCACAGCTCCTGCTGGTGAGTATGAGATCCAGTGCTGGAGGCCAGCCAGTTCAGGCTGAGCTACAGCACCTGTTGGCATGAGTGTGTGCCAGGTCTGGACGTGGGCAGGGCAAGGTCAGGCCACAGCACACCCAAATGAGAACCAGGATGGGATTTCAAAATAGCTAAGTATGGATTTTAAATGTGCTCACCATCTCAAGCATATATTAAATAATGTCAAACCAAGGAAATATATGCAGTAAACCACATTATCATCACGAAGGTTTTAAGCCAAAGTAAAATGTGCGTTTCACTACATTATTACCTTACAGTTTAACTTCTTTACAGCTACCAAGTTTTTAAATGGTAAATTCTCAAAAACATGCATGTTCTACAGATTTGCTGCACAGAGGAGCAATCATTTGTGACAGATAAAACTCATTTGTGACACTAGCACCTGCCACCAGAGTGTGAAACGGAGTCCTCGCTGCTCTGCTTCTTTTCCAGCTCCCTGCTAATACACCTAAGAAGGCAGCACTTCAATCTGCCACCATTTCGGAGCCCCCACAGGGCTCAGGACTCTGGGCTCCTGGCTCTGGACTGGCCAAGTTCTAGCCATTGCAGATATTTTCAGAATGAACCAGAGGATGGAAGAGCTCACTCTTTCTATTTCTGTCACTCCCCTTTTCTGTCATTCTGCCCTGCAAATAAACAGTAGTTTTTTAAAAATGTATTTGAGTGCAGTGGTGTATTCTAATCCTCAGTCTGAGGTGCTGGCAGCTCATATGGAAACTGATTTGAATCCTGGCTACTCCACTTACAATTCAGCTCCCTGTTCATGGTCAGGGAAAGCACTGTAAGATGATCCAAGGCCTTGGGCCCCTGCACCCACATGGCAGACCCAGAGGAACTTCCAGACTCTCAGCTTCAGACCAGCCCCACTCCGGCCATTAAGGCCCGTTGGGGAGAGAGCCAACTGATGGAAGATCTCCTTCTGTCTCTCCATCTTTCCCGCTTTAACTCTAACTTTCAAGTAAAATAAATTGTAAAAAAAAAAAAATTTTTTTTTTAAATCCATCTGAGTTTACCTATATCTTGGACCTACCCCAATCAGGAAAAAACAGAAATGGCATCAAATATTGAACTAAATATTCTGGCATTTGTTAAGACGAAATTCCGCAGTGGGCATTTGGAGCAGCAGTTAAGACATTGCTTAGGGATTAGGGCTTTTGTGCAGTGTAAGAAAACATTGATTTGCGACTCACATCCCAGATCAGAGGACCTCAGACCACTACCACTTTTTGTTCAGTTTCTTGCTAACGTGCTTCAGAGGCAGAAGATGATGACCCAGGTATTTTGATTCCTACCACTCATGGAAGACTCAACAGAGCTGCCGCTTCCTGACTTTGGCCGGCCTAGACTCAGCTCTTGTGGGAATTTGAGGAGTAAATCAGAAGATGGAAGACATTTCTTTCCCTCTTTCTGTCACTCCATCTTTCAAATAAATAAATTTTTCTTTTTCAAAATAGTTCTTTGGAATACCTCTATCCCATATTGAAATGATCTGGTTCAAGCCTCAGGTCGGCTCCTACTGTTCTCTCCCGCTTCTTGCTAATGCAAACCTTGGGCAGTTGCAGGTACAGCTTAAGTCTTTGGGTATTTGCCACTCAAGTGAGTTCCAGATTCCTGGCTTTGGCCTGACCCAGCCGCAGCTACTGCAGGTATTTGCAGAGGGAACAAAGGGGATAAAAACTAGCACTTCCCCTACACCTCAATCCTTCCCACCCTGATCCACCACGTAATCATTATAAAAAATAAAATTTATGTTAAAAATCAGCTAGCGCTTTGTTCACTCACTCAAGTGTGTTCTTTCTCTTTTAAGTAAGATAAAATTCTATCTGTATAACAGAAAACCATTACATAGAAGTAGCAGTTTGAGGATATCTTTTAATTGCACTTCAATGGCATTCCATCATGTAAAATAAAGTCCTAATAATATAGCTTGCAAAGACTTTCAGAATCTACTCCTACTCTCCTCAAACTCAACCTGTTGATCATTAGAATTTAGGCCCTGATTCAGTAGTCTGTGTGAGATCTGAGAATCCCTTTGCTAATTCCTCAGATTCACTGTCAAAAATGAAGGCTAAGTTCACACCTCACAACTCTCCACACCTCAGACTGGGTGAGTTTCCGCTCTTGCCCAGCCGCCACGTTCCTCCATTCTCTGTGTCCTTCTACGCCTTGCTCTTCAGCCTACAGCTTCCTCCTCACCTGTTCCTACTCTATTAGAGGGTTGGTTCAAACACTGCAGATATTCCAGGCACATACAGGTGCTGCTTTTTGCATGTTCCGAGGCCCTTAATCTGTTATAACCATATCCCTCCCTGTCAGACGCTGAGTCTCAATAAACGCTTTTCAGGTCACAAGCCACTAAGGCATCAAACTTCTCTATCGATTTGAAATAATGGTTACTACAATCACTTCAATTCTGTAACATTTTAAGGTAATAGCCAACAAAAAGATAATCTCTTATCAAATAATACTTCAAAATTAAAGTAAAATGTCACACTATTTTATGAGATATTGACTTCACTGCTGAAAAAAGTTAATGTCACATCATTATGGACTATAAAGGCCAAAATGAAGATTATACTACGACACTCCTTTAGTAAATATTTAAAGAAAATATAGGAATGGCAGTAAACTTGTAAAATACGTTTCCCTTTTAAATTTATGACTTTATTATACTTTCAAAACACATGCCAGAGCAGTACTCTAAATCAGAAGTTTCATGACTCACCTTCCTCATCTATCCATTTCATGGTGAAAAGCTGTTCATTGTCGAAAGAACACATGTCTCGAACCTCACTGCAAAGCCCTTCAAAGGATATGGAAGGTTCAAAATGTGTTATCATGATATCTCTGAAAAACAAACCAAGTTAGAAATTGGTTAACACCAATAATGCTATACATATTACTGAACACCTGACAATTTGCTAGGTTTCAGTTATTTTTTGTTTAACATCATGCATTATTTCCTCCAGTAAACTATATCCAAACAACAACAACAACAAATACACACAGATACTAATTTTACTTTAATCTCTCCTACTTAGGAAGTCTACCCTAAGTGTCCTAATAGACACGAAGTTTGCTTTAACGGAATTTGTCAAGATCTGAGGCTGGGAGTGTGCCTGGTAGGGAAACCGTGGGCACTTTGCTGCTAGGCTCAGTTTCCACTGGTGAACATGACAGGGATGGAGGCAGGCCACGCTGGAGAAAGTGGCAGCATCGGCTGGCATATGTGTAAGCTGCAGCACCCATGGGGTGTATAAGATCCAATGGATGCAGGACAGGACAGGCTACAGCAAATGCAGGCATGTGCAAAAACTGGTGCTGGGGGCAGGCCTGGTGGAGGTTATGGGGATCACCCTAACTGGGCCACAGCAGCCATCTCTGTGTGTGAGGACCATGGCTGTAGTAGGCTAGGGTAGCTGGGCCATAGCCTCTCCTGGTTCATGGGAGAGATTGGACTGGGGCAGAACTGCCCAGGCAGCTGCATCCACCCATGTGTGCACTGGTTGGTACAGGTGACAGAGTGAACCAGACCCTGTATTCAAGAGTAATGTCTGAGGTCACCCCAGGTGAAGTTTCTTCGGGGACTCCCCAATTAGACCATTGGACTCAAATCTCAGTCACAGAAAAATCACAAGATATGTGGTCTGACCTTGGAGCACATAGTGGGAGAAGGCCTCAACAGCTACTGATGCCCATGCAGTGGACAACATGCCCAGAAGCACAAGGAAAACATGGCAGCCAGGTCATCCAGGCCGGCAGAGGCCATCAAGTACCTCATCAGAAGATGGAAAGCAGAACAGGTTGGACCACTCTCCTGGCCAAGCTTTGCAGCAAATGTCTGGGTGTGTGCATGCAGTACGGTGGACTTGGTCAGCCGACAGACTTCGGAAAGATTTTCTCAACAAAGGTGACAACATCTCAGAGCTTTTAAAACCACTCAAGTAACACCCTCAGAACGTTCTTCCTCCATCAGGATCTCTAAGGCATCATCAAACAACCGTCCCCAGACTCCCTATTACTGATGTAGTTAGACAAGAAGTGGCCCTCTTCCCCTTCCCTACCAGGGGACAAAGGAGAAAAGAACTGAAACACTTATCCTAGCCATATTCCTCCATACCTAGGCCATTCCCACCCCAAACAGAGCCCCACATGAACATGCATCCTTCTCAACTACAATACTAAAAATAAAATTTAAAAACTTTTTTTTTAAAGATTTATTTATTTATTGCAAAGTCAGATATACAGAGAGGAGGAGAGACAGAGAGGAAAATCTTCCGTCCGATGATTCACGCCCCAAGTGAGTGCAACAGCTGATGCTATGCTGATCAGAAGCCAGGATCCAGGAGCTTCTTCCAGGTATCCCACATGGGTGCAGGGTCCCAAAGCTTTGGGCCATCTTCAACTGCCTTCCCAGGCCACAAGCAGGGAGCTGGATGGGAAGTGGAGCTGCTGGGATAAGAACAGGCGCCCATATGGGATCCCGGTGAGTTTGAGAACTTTAGCTGTTAGGCCATGCCACCGGGCCCAAATTTAAAAACTTTTAAATGTTATTTGTCAGAAGCATACTCCTTTTAAAAACGTATTTATTTATTCTTAAGATCAGTTACAAACCCAGCTATCCCACTCCTAGGAATATACCCCCAAAAAATTAAAGCTACATATGAGAAGGGGATCTATAATCCTATATTTACAGCAACACTATCTACAGTAGCAAAGACATGGAGACAACCTAGATGCCCATCCAAAGAGGAGTGACTAAAGAAATTGTGGTACATCTATTCCACGGAATATTAATCAGCCATTAAAAAAAAATCAAATTTTACAATTTGCAACTAGATAGTCCCAACAAGAGACCATTATGCTCAGTGAAATAAGCAAATCACAAAGAGAAATACCATATGTTCTAATATAAGGAATCCATCATGCAAACTGGAATGCATAGTGGTGGAGTAATGGAAACTACCATGTCCAGATATTTTACAATGTAACAGGGATCTCTGCTTAAAACAAAAGATGGATTCCCAGTGAAAGTGTTACATGTAACTAGACAAGGGGAGGATGAACTGCCTGACATTGTCTGTACCAGCAATGCCGGGGCACACTTTCCTAGCAGACTAATGGAATTGTAACTCCTTATGAAGAGTAGTGACATTATGGGAAAAATCAACTGGGGGAGGGGAATCCCAGACTATACAGAACTGTACAATAAATTTCAAAAATGAAAATGAAAAAAAAAAAGTCAGTTAAAGACAGAGAGGAAAATCAGATAAGGAGATTCTTTCCAAACTGCTAGTTCACTCCCCAGATGTGACATGAACTATTGTTCCTACGGGATGCCAACATTGCAGAGTGTGGCTTTACTCGCTACACCACAATGCCAGTCCCCGAAACTCACTCTCAATTGTGAGATTCAACTAAACAGATCAACAGTTCTTTAACTGATAAACTCCTGCTTTACATCCTATTGAAATGTTTTGGTGACATTCCTCCAAAAAGTCTACCTTTCATCCAAGAGACGGCCTTTCTGCCATGCTGTCCCCACTGATGTTGACCTACACAGATTAACCACCCAAGTCTGCTTATCATTCTTTCTATGGCATAATATTTACATCTCAAGCCTCTATTTTCACTTCTTCCCAAAAATGATTTTGAAGTTTCTCATATTTTAACATAGGTTCAAATAAAAGGAACTGACATAGATGTATATGCCCTTTAGATCAGTGTCAAACACTAACATTTAATTAAATTCATCTAGAAGCTGTTCAGTATAGAACTTAAAATTGTAAAAAATTTTAAAGATTTATTTTTATTGGAAAGGCAGTTTTACAAAGAGAAGGAGGAACAAAAAGAATGATCTTTCTGCTTTGAAAGGCTTTTAACTGTCCTGAGCTGCTTTCCAGGCCACAGGCAGGGGACCTATATGGGAAGTGGAACAGCTGGGACACGAACCAGACCCCTTTGTTATCTGCACACTTTTAAGATGAGGATTTAGCCACTGAGCCATTGCACCATGGCCAAAACCATAAAATATGTAAAAGTAGCTTCCAAAGAAGCTACTCCAAAGAACTCTGAAAAGGCTCCCAATAACTTAATTTCCATAGAGCAGCCACAGTGGTTTTTCTCTTGGAAAGATTTGCTTATTTGGAAATCAGAGCTGATTGCTTCTCAGCCTTTTGGCTAAGATCAAGTGTGGAAATCAGAGCTGAGAGGCAAAGGGAGGAATTGAAGGAGGGATGGAGGGAGGGAGGGCGAGAGAAAGATATATTTCATCTCTGGTTCACTCCCCAAGCGGCCACAAAGACCAAAGCAGAGGCAGACTGAAGCCACGAGGTTCATTCAAGTCTCCCGCCTGTGGAGGACAGGGACCCAAACACTTGGACCACCTTCAGCTGCTTTTCCCAGGCCATCAGCAGGGGAGCTGGAACAGAAGTAAAGCAGCGAGGACAGGGATCTATGTCTATATGGGATCCTGATACAGCAGGTGGCAGCTTTACAGCCCATACCACAATAACACTCCACAGTGATTCATTCAAGTGCAAAAGTAGATGGAATGACTTAATTTCAAGTTATATAGTGATTCTTACGTATCAGATTTTGCATTAAGGATTGTAAATTTTAATATAGCTCATTTCCTTCCTCTTGATTTTTTAACAAATAGCCTTCTTTTATTTTTTTACTGATTTATTTATTTGAGAAAAAGATTATCCATTTACTGGTACACAAACAGCCAGGGCTCGGCCAGACCAAGCTAGGAGCGAGAAACTCAACCACACAGGTCTCCCACATGGGTAGCCAGAACCAAAGTACTTGAGCCATCACCTGCTGCCTCCCAGGGTGCCGACTGGAACCAGACTGAAGTGAAGACAGGACTGAAACTCAGGCATCAAAGAGATGTGGGCTTCCCAACTAGGTGGCTTTAACCAGCGTCACCACAATATCCACCACAAAGTTATTTAATTTGAAAAGGAGAGAGAGACACAAGGTGGGAGACAGAGTGACTTTTCTAACACCTGCAGAGAATGCACAGGCAGGAAGTTGGAAGGAGCCAGGAAAGGGACCTGTCTTTCTGACAAGGGACATGCGTATCTTAATTACTAGGCCTATCAGCTGTCCCTTTCCTGTTTTAATCTCTGCAAATGCCTCATCTGGCACGCAGAGTAACCTCAAAAAGTCCTAGAAGGTCTGCAAGGCCCTGTGCAAACTGGTTCTGCCTATTTCTCCTACCACTGATAAAGTGTACAGTGCATCTTCTATCCCGAGTACAATGTTAAATTTAATAAAAGCATGATTTGGTTTTCTTCACTACATTCCTACTGACCAATGCAATGTGTAACACAGAAGGAGAGCCAAAGAAAAAAGTAGCAGGAGGAAAGCAAGAAAGCAGCACACTAGGAACTGTCCACAGACAAGGGTGGTCAGAACACAGAACAGAGAACAAGGAATCAAAAATTTTACTCAACTACAAAAACAACTGAGCTGCACTCCTTAAGAGAGACACAGGGACAAAAAAAAAAGGGAGGGGAGGGGTGCAGAGGAGGGCCCAGCATGATGGCGCAAGTGCTTAATCCTCCACCAGATCCCACATGGGTACTAGCTTACATCCAGCTGTTCCACCTCCCATTCAGCTCCCTGCTTGTAGCCTGGGAAAGAAGTAGAGGAAAACCTTGGAACCCTGCACCACCATGGGAACCTGGAAGAAGCTCCTGGCTCCTGGCTTCAGATTGCCTCAGCTCTGGCCATGGAGGCCAAATGGAGAGTGAACCACCAGATGAAAGATCTCTCTGCCTTTCCAATAAGAATAAGCAAATATTTAAAAAAAAAAAAAGTAGAAGGAGGAGGAGGTG